GGTGAGAGAAGGAGAAAAAGAAGTATTTAATTTTTTTAATATATATATAAGAACAAGAAAAGTTGAAGAGTGAAGACGGAAGGGAACAAAAGAGAGAGAAAAAGAGAAATGTATACTTAGCTGAGGCAAGTACGGAACAACAAAAACGAGGTGTGAACACACAGGTGGTCGAAGAAGAACTGAGTGGGAGGCGGCTCTCCCCCCCGCTCCAAGCATGCATAGTACGTGCCTGCTCCCCAGGGCGGGAAGAGAGCCCGCCAAAAGTTTTCTGAGGCAAAGCTCTAGAAGTTTCTCCGATCGAGGTCGAGCACAGGCGCCCGACCCATGTGTGGGACTGCACAGAGACCACAACGAAGATCTTGTTTTATATATGGAAAGATGAAACACTAATAGAGAATGTTTCAGGACATAGCTGAAGGGGAAAAGCAAGTCATGTACAGCAGCTCTGAATTCTAGCCAAGACCCAGGGCTCACTCCTTGTCAGAGGAAGAAGCAGGATGGTGGTGATGTGAATTAGCAGCTCAGAAGCTTCCTTGTCAGTCCGCATCGCACCCGTGCTATCCACCCCATCAACGACTCCTGTCAGACATGGAAGTCTAACATCAACTCAGCCTCTCTACGGCTGTTAATAAAGCACATCCCCGTATCTTCCTGGAAATAAAACACTGCTCTGTGCTAGTCCTATCATTAACAGCATTAAAAGCGTTAACATACAGCGGCTGATGTAAATTACCCAATCAACATGAATGCACCAACAAGCAGACTGCCACCACCCCGGGTACATTAAATATCATTACTCTAGACATGACATTCCCGTGTGCATCATCATGTACATTAGCCTGAGGCATGACAGTCTAGTCTAGAGGCAAATGAGGACATCAAAGCCACTTGGGCCTAAGCCAGGCCTAGCCCCTGCCATGCTGGAAGGGGCACAGGTGTCGCTCAGCTCCGACCCCAGCCGGCGGCAGCAGAGACCGCTAACTCAGGCTTGCCCAACAGCTGGGTCCAAGCTGAGCAGCCAACATAAGAACGCCAGAAGAGCCCCGTGGGATCAGTCCGGCGGTCCATCTATTGCAGCATCCTGTCTCACACAGTGGCCAATCAGCTCCTCTGGAGGTCCAACAACAGGGCACAGAGAGTCCCTTCTGGCCCTGGGGGTCAGAGGCTTACTAACGCCTCTGCACATGGAGGTTCCCCTTAGTCACCATGGCTAGTAGCCATGGACAGACTTCTCCTCTATGAGAAAGACTGCTCTCATGCTAAAGCTCATGATCAAGGTTTATAAGATTATGCATGGGATAGAGGAGGTCGAGAAAGAAGTACTTTTCTCCCTTTCTCACAAGACAGGAACTCGTGGGCACTCCATGAAATTGCTGAGCAGTCCGGTTAGAACGGATAAAAGGAAGTACTTCTTCACCCAGAGAGTGATTAACACAAGGAATTCACTGCCACAGGGGGGGTTGGCGGCTACAAGCACGGACGGCTGCAAGAGGGAATTGGATAAAGAAGAGGAAGAGATTGGATTTATACCCCGCCCTTCACTACCCAAAGGTCTCAGAGTGGCTTACAACCTCCTTTCCCGTCCCCTCCCCACAACAGACACCCTGTGAGGTAGGTGGGGCTGAGAGAGCTCTGACAGGAACTGCTCTTTTTCAAGAACAGCTGTGCCATAATTAAGGCTTGCCCAAGGTCATCCAGCCAGGTGCAAGTCAGGGTTCCCTCTAAACTGAGTTAGTGTGAGCTAGCTCACAGTTTTTTGGCCTCCGGCTCACACATTTTTGTCTTAGCTCAGGAAGAATGGCTCCAGAGCAAACTAATTTATGTAGTGGCCAAATTGCTTGCTCACAACTTTAATGGCAGTAGCTCACAAAGTAAAGTTTTTGCTCACAAGACTCCACAGCTTAGAGGGAACACTGGTGCAAGTGGAGGAGTGGGGAATCAAACCCGGTCCTCCCAGATTAGAGTCCGTGCACTTAACCACTACACCAAACTGGTTCCATAAACATGGAGCAGAGGTTCATCAGTGGCTATTAGCCACAAGGTATAGATAGGAACTCTCAATCTGGGGCAGGCGATGCACTGTATTCTTGGTGCTTTGGGGGGGGGCAACAGTGGGAGGGGCTTCTAGTGTCCTGGCCCCACTGCTGGACCTCCTGATGGCACCTGGTATTTCTGGCCACTGTGTGACACAGAGTGTTGGACTGGAGGGGCCTTTGGCCTGATCCAACACTGGTTTCTCTTACGTTCTTATGTAACGAAGGCGTGGATGACCTGGGCTCCTCACATTCTAAAACCCTTTGCAGGGAAACTCCAAAAACAGTTGTGTGATCAAACAGCGACAGGTACGCCCTCCACTATCCTCGTCAACCTGTCGTGGCCCACAGATTTTGGCTTGGCACAGTAGCAAGTTATTATTTATTTTATAGACATTATTTACAGTCTGCCTTTCTCAGAGAGACTCGGGGCGGATTACACACAGTGAGTCAGGACAGTCAACAAAACGCATTAGGACTTCAGAAGTCTGGAACCACCAGAAGGAACAAAAGCACAGCGTAAGTATTCACACAGTGCATTAAGCAGTGCAGAAATCACATAACAGGATCCTACTTGCAATAAGCTACACGCAGCAGTATAGACCACAGTTCCTAATTATTTATCCAAGGGAAGAAGGAGAAGGAGGAGATTGGATTTATACCCCGCCCTTCACTCAGAGTGGCTTACAATCTCCTTTCCCTTCCCCTCCCCACAACAGACACCCTGCGAGGTAGGCGGAGCTGAGAGAGCTCTTTTGAGGACTGCTCTTGAGAGAACAGCTCTGAGAGAACGTGCGACTGACCCAAGGTCCCACCAGCAGCTGCACGTGTAGGAGTGGAGACTCAGACCCGACACTCCCAGATTAGAGTCCGCGCTCCCAACCACTACACCAAACTGGTTTTGCGAACCTTTTGCTATGTTGCCACCCGGGTACCTGTGCAGAAAAGCCCTCTTGAAATAATTCAGTTTTGCAGTTTCCGGAAGGCCGGGAGCCTTCCTGACCCCCTCCAGCAGGCCGTCCCACAAGGGAAGAGCCGCGACGGAGAAAGCATTATGTACGGGCAGTTGTTGCTTCTGCCCACTTGCAGGTTGGCACCCGCAGAAGCTCCTGCTGACATGAGGGAAGCTGTAGAGGCGGAGCAGAGGGGAAGAGACAGTCCCGCCAACAAGAGGGGCCAAGGCCATGAAGGGCTTCGTAGGTGGCCGGCGATACCTTCGACTGAGCTCGGGGACAGATGGGCAGCCAGTGGAGCATCTGCAGAATGGGGGGGGGGGATACGCACGCTCCATCTAACAGAATCTCCTGATAACAGCCAGGCCGCAGCATCCTGCACCAAGTGGAGCTTCCAAATGGATTCCGAGGGGAGACCAATGTGCAGTACATTGTGGTAGTCCACTCTTGATGGTACTGTGGTGTGGATCCTGGTGGCCAGGTCAGCCTCATTAAGTGAAGGGGCCATCTTCTGGGATAGGCTGCGTTGGCAGAAAGACTTTTTTGCACCTGCATTAACTGGCTGCTCCAGGAACGAAGCTGGATCCCGTATGACCTCGAGGCTTTTAACTGAGTCAGAAAGAGTTGCCTGAATGCCATTTAAAGCGGGGAAGAACAACGTCCTTCAGGACCTCCTCCTTCTCAACCAGCACTATTTGTGGTCAGCAGGGATCATTTCCTGCTGGAGTGCCCCAGAGCAGCGCTCTGGCAGTAAGGAGGCCCAGGTCCCGGCCTCCTGAGGGGGAGGGATTAAATGCCTGGCTTTCCAGCCTGATCTTCCCAGCCGTGAGGCACCTGGAGAAAATCGAGCAGGGAAGCCAGGCATGTCTGCCCGCTTCCCCTTCCCCTGCCATGGCAGGTTGGCTGGAGAGGGGAAGGGGAGGTGGGCAGACATGCCCTCCTTTCCCCCTGAGCCTCTCCGCTTTTGCGGAGAGACTGAGGGGGGCATTTAAACTCATTTGCATATGCCTTAACTCACTTTCAACATGCCTGCCCTTTGTCAGGGGGCGTGGCATATGCAAATGAGTTATGCAAATGAGCTCCTGCATTGCTTCTTCTAGGAAATGACCCCTGGAGGTCAGCATTTACTCTTCTTCCTCCCTGATTTCTCTAGCAGATGCAGGCAACTGGCGTGTATCTCACTGCTTCTACCTGCTCCGAAACTGAGTGCAACGCAAGGCACTTTCCCCCCGAGTTCTCTGCAATTCACAGAGCTTTTCCAGGAGGGGATCTTTTTTTTTGGGGGG